GTTGGGATAAGGTTTTATTTATCCATGCATGAAACATTTAAATGAGCACTTGGCTCAAAGTTAGTATTCAATAAGTACCTATTACATAAATATATGGTTAAATTAAATGACTTAATTGTTCTTTACCGTTAACATTTACACATATACTCATATGTAGACTTGCATATTTATTTAAACCACTTGTTCTTTTTTTTGTATACTTATAATGTGTTCTTCAGGAATTTTAGGTTTCTCCCAATTGTTTTTTTTTAATTTAAATATTGTGATGTTAGGTTTTGTATATATTTTAACATACAAATTATGAGCTCATTGTTCCAGATATTTTCTTCTGTGAGGATTCTGTGTGTTCTGTGGATTGTGGAAATGTCCATAAGAAGAGGCTTCTAGTTGCCACTGTCAAACTCTTATTAATAATGTAGGTTCCAGACAAATTTTATTTAATATGAAAATGTGGGTCTTACATCCTAATGCAATTAGGGTCTCTGATTTCTCGCAGTGGGATCACTTTTCCCGTATGGTCTAGAGGGAAGCATTGCCTTCCTGTTTACTTCAGGCCAGGAAGTGAAGTTTTCTCCAAGTAAGCACATTTTCCAGATTCCTGGCTTTATCCAGGGAGCATAGTTAGTTGTCTGTCACACTCAGAACTGATACCTGATGTATCCCACATAACATTACAACCCCATGGCGTGTTCTCCTGCCTGTCTTCTTTTACAGACCCTATCATCTCAGCTTCTTCTTTCTACCATGTTTTCCATCTTTCCTCTGGAAAATAGAGTTAGTCTCTTTTTGATTCCCAGGCTTGGCTACACATGATTTCTTTTTAAAAAATATGTAAGTGTTTCAATGTGTTTGAAGTGGAAGGTGGCTCTCCATTATAGTTTGGGAGTCTAAACTAGAAATTTCACACTTGATTTAAAAACACCTAGGACCACATCATCAGCTCAGAGGTTCACATTGATGTAGTGGTGATCATGAAAATTATATAGGAATGTGAGACTCTAAAGAGGCAATTGGTTTGGAAGCACATCCAATTGTCTGCAAAGAGGTAATGATGGTATATTCATTTCCTATGGTTGCTATAGCAAACCACACAATCTTGGACATTTAGAACAACATATATTTTTTCCCTTACAGTTCTGGAGGCCAGAAGTCAGAGATCAGTACCCTTGTGATGAGACCAAGGTGTGAACAGAGGTTCTTGCAGAGCATCCATGTCTTGTCTCTTCCAGCTTCAGGTGGATGTCAGTATTCCTTGGCTTGTAGCTACGTTGTTCCAATCTTCAAATGCCTCTCTTCTCTGCCTTTGCATCCTCTTTCCTCTGCATATTAAAATTCCTTCTGCTCTTCTTTTATTAAGGATACATGCAACGGCATTTGGAACCCACTATATAATCTTGGATAGTCTCTCCATTTCAAGATCCTTAACTTCTTTTTTTTTTTATAAGATCCTTAACTTCTTAATCACATCTGTAAACACTCTCCCCCATTTTTTTTCCTATATAAGGGTAGGTTCAGAGAGTGCAGATTGGAATGTGGGTATCTTTTAGGGGACTATTTTTAAACCTGCCACAGATAAGTATAAATAGGAAAAGTTGCCCCTCCTCTCCCAGCATCTTAAAGCAACAATTTCAGAAGGACAAAGTAAGACTCATAGAAAACATGGAAGCCAAGACCAGACTTATACAGAGGAAGAAAAAAGGAGATGAATCAAGTCACAACTGGAAATTCAAATCAAAGATGATAGTTTTGAGATGATTGTGTTCCCTGGGTAATTCTAGGGAGAAAATTGGTACAAGGAAGATGATAGAGCCACCTTCAACCTTCCCAATTCTCCATAGCTCAACTGGGTTTTTAGGCAACAGTATTTACTTTGGAATTAAAACAGTTCACAGCAGGTATGAATGGCTAATGGAATAAAATTTCAGAAGCACAAAGAACACATGGTTCCTGAGGTGAGACAGAAATCAATACATGCATTTCCAGTTCACTAGGGTCAACCAAAGGTCAACAAAAAGTGCCTCAAAATAAGCTGAGGCCTTTAGTGTAGGAAGAGTATATTTCCTAAATTTGGGAAGGAAGAGAGGGGAAGACCCTGGCCTATAGGGGTCACAGAAAAAGAAAGGTGTGGTTGCATGAAGTTCAATAAACAATAATTTTCATTCAGGTCAAAAAGAAATGAACAGAGGTCACTTGTGTCAAGGTAGAGTCTAAATGAGTATTGTTTTCATTTCAAAATTAAACACAATAAGAGTGTTCACCGAAAACAAAAGCAGTCAGAGAAAAGATAGGAATTGTTCTACAAATACATTATGGTTTCTTGAGATTCAACATAAGGACGAGGCAAGCTACGTTTCAGACATAAGGATCCACATAATTGGTCCACTTTCTCCTGACACTAGGAAAAATAGTGGTGAGGTGGGTGGCTGAGGACTTTTAATGGAAAGGTGGGGGAAACCTCCACACTTTGAACATGATCTCTTACTCCTTATAGAGACCTAAGGCTAGCAGAGCTCATCTTTTTCAAAGGCAAATAAACACGGAATAAATAATACTTGAATAATAATCTTTAATACATATAATAAAAAGCATAATAGTTTATATTTAAATAATAAATAAATAAATACTGGTCATTTACAGACCTCCGTGTGAGTATCTTCAGTAAATGAATCCAGTTGCCTTCCTGTGCTCCAGCTCTCAGGACTGAAACACAGACATTCAGCTGGAGTGTGTGCTAGTTTAGAAGAAAAGCGAGGGCCAACCGAACCTTGGGGTGTCCCTGGAAGGGAAAACTGGAGCTGGGAGCTGTGGTCTGCCTCAGGGCAGGGAAGGAAACCCAACAAGCATTTATTTTCAGTTACATGTCAAGCACATGGCCACTTGTAGGTCACTAAAATTTTCTGGACAAAATAATAGATGGGAAGACTGCATCTTACAAATGCAAGAGAGCTCCTCAGAGCATAACGGTTAGGGTCAGAGGCAGCGGAACAGTCTAAACTTGATTTCTTTGTCTTACTTCCATTTTCAGGAGGATTCCAGGGGTTCTGGGAGGTGGGTTTTGAAAACAACAAAGGAATGCATGTCTTCATGTCCCTTACATGGCGATTGCCTCAGATCTGGGGGAAAAATGTAGGAAAATTCCCTTTCCTGCTACTGCTCCCTCTTTGAGGTGGGCTTAGCCCCTCTACTGCACTCTGCTTACGTCCAGGCCTTAGCACTGCTGCTTCACATTCGCCCCTGTTCCGGTTTCCCCCACTGGGCTTCCTAAGAGCGAGAGCTGTGTCTTCTTTAGGTCACTTACCTGGAGTCCAGCACAGAGCTGGTAATAGATACATGGCACAGAAACTGCGTGCTCTCTCAGGTGCAGTTCCAACATCACTTAGTTCCCCGGGGGCAGTTCTGAAGTTTTCCGTGTTCAGGCCCCCTGCCAGGTACTCATACGTAATCTTCATTCATTAATTCTCAAGCAGCTCTGAGACACAGCTATGATTATTCTTAATTCCACAGCTAAAGGAAACTGAGGCTCAGAAAGGTAAAAGGACTTGCCTGAGGTTACCTGGCAATAGGGAGTGTTAGGTTTTGAGCACATGGCATGCGGAGCTTCCCCCACACCAAACTTCCTGCGTGCCCCTCCACGGACACAGCTCTATCAGGACCCACAGGAGAAAACATGGCCTTTGCACAAAGAGAGCGTGAGATAAAAGAAGACAAAGAGAAATACCCAGGGATACTTTAAAAAGCAGCCAATGCAATGTAAAGGTAAAGGGCCAACTGACCAACTCGCTGGGGAGACCCGGGGTTTAGGAGTGAACCCGGCTAAGTGGGGTTAAGCAGAGGAGGCCAGGTTTCCTACAGGAGGTGACATTTGAGCCAGCACAGCCACCAGGTCTGCACTGCAGAACTGGCTCACTGAAGAGCAGCTCTGCTCACTGGAAGCGGGTGTAATTAAGTCCTTCCCCAGCAGCTGCAGAGCGTGAGTTGCCGGTGTATTGCTAGTGCCCCCCTGTGCGCAAAGGAAGAACTGGAGCAGCTTGAGGGGCAAAGGGGTGGCACTGAAGCCCTGCGCCCTCCACCAGGACCTGCATTTCAGGGCTGACTTCCCCAAACCAAAACTGTGAGACAGCTCTTTCAGACTGAGTAAGGAATACCAGCTGGTCTCCCCACCAGAGTGAGACCCTCCCTTCTCACCACCCCTACTGTGCGCCTCTGGGCCTGGGGGCCTCAAGGGCTCCCATCTCTGGGTCTGCTGTGGACAAGGCCGAGCTGGGTACTCCCTCCAGGCGAAAGGCAAGGTTTTCACTTCCAGGCCCGGGCTCTGTGCAAGGGCAGCCCAGTCTAGGTGAAAGAGCCGGGACTGGGATTCAGAACGTGTAGGCTAGAGATGTCAGGGCTTTTGCCTCATTTTGTTTTATTGGGAATTATTTTTTTTTTCCTCTGGATCGCAGCTTCTCCATCTGCAAAAAAAATACTAAATCATTTTGGAGTTGCCCTGGGTGTCAGTGTTCATGGACCCTCTCGGGCCTCCTTGGGTGCTGCGGGACAGTGGTACTTGTTAACCCTTCCCCTCCATGGCCCTCCATTCTCTCCTTTCCTCTGGAATCAGTCATAAAGAATTCAGAAGGTATAATGGGGCTGGTTATTTGGATTAGAAAGTGAAAGAGGCATTTACTGAGGAACCTCTGGCTGCAGGCTTAGATTCCATATTAGAATATTCAGCTATCAACCAGAAGGTGAGCAGCATTGCATTTTTGTTCCCTTACTTTAATTCAATTGACTTATATTTATTTAGGGACCATTATATGCCAAATGACATACTGCCAACCCCCACCCCAACACCACCAAGCCAATAATCTGGAGAAGATACCCATTTGCGTCTTAGTAACTGTAATACAGAATTTTATCTTTGCTATGATTGCATCTCTGTCAACTTACCTATGTATGAGGATAAGAATTGGAGAGAAACAGAAAATTTAAAAAAAGACAAGAGCTGATTTGATAGGGTGTTTGGAATGTGGGAACGGGCAGCTTTTATTGTCATCTATGCAAACACACACTAGACTGTAACAGGTATGTACAGACGGAAGGAGGGTATTAGTCACCGGATAAGACTGAGGCAGCACAGTCGCCTTTGTGACAGCATCTGGAAAGTCTTGGTACAGATGTCATTTCAGTATCAACATTAAAGGAGGAAGTTCATATACCCAAGGAAGCAAGCCGTGGAATAAAAAATCAGATTCATTCATTCATTCACAACTGAAGATACACAGATAATTAATACACAGTCCATGCCCTGGAGGTAAACACAGAGAGAATAAACATGAAGGAGTCAAATATTCTTTATCAAATGAGCACACATCCAAGAGAAGTGTTTTCTTAATTAGCAATTAGTGATACCTTCCCACCTTCACAGCTCACTGTTTATAAGCAATCTGTCAATTGGAAGTATTATTATTATTATTAATATTATTATTTATTCAGGACTTTCTGGGAGAAGTGGGAGGGAGAAAAGAAAGTGAGAACATGGCATTTTAAGTGGAGGTCTGGGATGGAGTGGTATCATTTGGAAAGCAAGGCTCTAAAAAAGAATTTGTGAAAACTTGAAAAAATCTTAGCATGCAAATTAATCTTGAACTCACCCACTGATAGCAGCAGCCTCCCTCTCCTCCCACACCCATGGCAGTCTAAATAAGGATATATGACTTGTTTGATTTACATTCCTTTCTCTCAGCAGCATAAACTGCATGCTGGTCCTCTCTGTCCCTAGCGCTGTGCTGACACCAGACCGGTTTTACCAGTAGCTAGAGGCGCATGAAATCTCTTAGCCCTCACATACACTTCCTACTTGGTTGTGATACAGAAGCAAGACCAACACTGGGGAAAGAAACGGCTTATATGGAGAACTGGGGATCAGGATGTACTGTCTCCTTGCCCTCTGGTTAAAATTCGGGGCAGCCTGGAGAGAAACAGATGCCAACCCTGTCTGCATCATAGACCCTTGACACCAAGGAAAAGTTCATGGGAGGCCTGAACGCCACTGGACGTGGGAGCGTCTCCCACCCCTTCCATCCCTTGCCGGGGGACAGCCTCTTGCTGGCCAGTTACACGCTGCCTCAGTGGCAGGTCTTCAATGACTGGGCACTGACTAAACGAGCTCTGGAACCCCAGGCCTACCCCTTTTGTGACTTCCTATCATCTAATAAATGATTTGGTTCAACAAACAGGAAAGCAAAACCCAAACTTCGCCCCATCACCACCATTACCATCAACATTTTCACTCTCCAAAGAATTCTGGGCTTTACTTCATAGGAATAAAATAATCCCTTTTGCCCTGGCCTCCCTACCCTGCTTCGCATAACATTAAGCATGCCTGTGGAAAAAGAGTGCCTTACAAGAAACTCCATGGAAAGCCCATATGTTTGTTGAAGGAAAGAACTTGACTTGGTGTCGCAGGGAAGTCAGATATGAAACTAAAGTCAAGAAGCAAAGTAAGTTTTAATGCACTCTGCACAGAGTGACAGAGTGGGTCTGCCTGAGGTGAGACAGGCCCGGCTGCCCCTTCTGAAGCTGCTTTTATGTGGGTTTGGCAGGGCAGAGAGGTCCTTGATTGACAGCTGTCAGCTCTCTAGGCTTGTTCTGATTGGTGAAATGAGGACATGGGCTGTACTGTCCCGTGCTTCTGAAGTTTCTGATCTGAGGAGACCCCGGACATTTCCTGAGTCCCTCTTGGACCCTGTGGCTTCATCTGATTAACTCCCCGAGTCATTTCTGGAGGCCCTCTCTCCTTTTCGTCCTGCTCGTTTCTGTCTTTCAGCCTAATAGATTTTTGTTTGTTTGTGAGGGGCTTCCAAAACAAGCTGCCATCTTTAGCGTCCTTTTCTCAAGCTCAATCCAAAAACAAAATTTCTGTAACTAAAACGAATGAAGAAATTAGAGCAGAAAAGTTTGACAAAAATCTGACTTTTTTTTCCTTTTAAGGATGTATCGAGGTTAAAAATGAAAACAGACAGACAGCAGCCTCTGCAGGAGAAAGTACATCAGAAAAGGCCCTGCGTATTGCTATGCATTTCATTTTTTAAAACAATTACACCTGCCCTTTAAAATCAAGCATGGGGAAATGGATGTGGGTCAAAGACTGGGGGCTTGCGGAGGGTTAAATGCCTTTTTCTTCATCAACTGTGTGCTCTGGGGATGGGAGAAGAACCCTGGTCAATAGACAGATATATTGACTTGTTATTATTTAAAGTTGTTTAACCAGGTAGAGATAAACGAAAGCTTTCAGCAGCTGAACTACCACACAAATCACAATTAAGGTGGCATATGTGTTTGGAAGACGTAAAATCAATTCCCGCGAAGATAATGTTTTAGTCTCTATTTGAACTTGAAAACAGAAGTAAATTTTCAGCAGCAACAGCTGGACTTGTTCCATCCAGCAGGCTCTGTATTAACTGTACAAGAAGGGCCTTTATTACCTCTTCTAATGGTTTTCCTCTATGGTTTTGTCTTCATCAAAAAAGCCAAATTGATTGCCGCGGTGCTGTTTGCTGACGTGGTGGTGAGGTGAGCAGCGGCAGCCCGTTCTGTGCTCACCCGCTCTGTCTTTGACCTCCCCCTCCTCTCTGAGTGCCTCTGAGTGCTGTTCACGGTTTAAGGAGAGAACAATGGGCCCCTGGGGGCTACGGCTGGACTGGGTGGGGGAGGAGGGAGGATTTGGCCTCTTATTCAACTTCACTCCCTAAGGTAGTCTTTCCTGAGCTTGACTGGGTGGGGAAGTCTGGGAATAGGAAAGGGAAGCATTTGTGCATCTACAGTATTCTCGGTGATTTAATCACCCTCCAAAGGTTCTCCCTGTGTGACCTCTAAGGACTGCACCTCACTACATAACATTTTAAACACATGTCTGCATATATGCTGTCCTCCTAATTCTACCCTATACTCCCTGGAGGCAGGGACCACATGCAATGCCACTGGGTTCGTTATTGGATGTGGTGTATGGTTCTGACACACAGTAGCTGTTCCTGTGAAGGGGGCCATGGACACTGGGAATCCATTCGTCCAAAGGCAGGCATCTAATTCACCTCCTCATCACATTACCCTTTTCAGTCTTTATTCATGCCAGTTCGTGGGAAGCAGGGCCAGGTTAGTGTTTCCCTTCTGTTGAATTCTCCCTGTCTTTAGTGTGGGATAGAAAGATGCAGTATAAGCTGGATGGCAATGAGCGTGGGGCATGGGTTGCCCTTCTGGGGATGATGGGGCTCATCTGTATCAGTAAGAGGAAAAATGGGCTGAAGATGTAGAAGTTTGACTCCGCAGAGAAGGAAGAAGGGGGCAAGGACTTTGCAGTTGCAAGGTGAGGACAGAAGCAGACCAGCAGGGGAGAGGTGACCAGTAAAGGACTAGCAGCCAGGGACTTGGACGCCAGACCTCATCTGGTGCGAACTAGCGAGCATTGACTTCTGTGCTGTGGATGCTTTGTCTAGAAAATAAATAACACGAGTGAAGCCCAGGTTTCTTAAAACTTATGCATTTATAAAACTGTAAGATTGCTATTGCAAGACAAACAAAATAAACGAAAAAAAAAAAAAAAGAGACTAGCTGATCTCTTCAGGCCCATTTCCTTTCAGACAAAGAAGTATCTCTAGTATCTCTCCCTGCTCAATATTTCTAGTATCTGTGTGTTTCCAGCCCATGACCGCCTGACCACCTCCTGCGTCAGAACTCAGAATCACAAACACGGACCACTAGGAAAGCTCTACCTCCCTGCTCTCCTGCCTGCTGGCCCTTTATCCCTTTCACTCTGTCTAGTATATCTCCACAAAGCCTCTGCTCAAGGGCTGTTTCAATCATGTTAATCCTCAGCTCAAAAGCCATAGGTTTATTCATTCAGTAGATACCGAGGTTTGCCACAGAGCAGGCTGTGTTATAGGTGCTTGGTAAACAGCAAACACACAACCTGCTATCACTGAGTTAGATGTAGTGGAGGGTGACAGGGTGGATAATAGACACAGAGAGAGAAAGAGATGGGGAGAGGTTTTTACGTAGACATGTATTTATACGTATTTGAAGTCAATGGTTCCCATTTGCCCAAATGGAGGTACATTTGGCTAAATAGAGCCTGTATTTCATCATCTATAATCTATTTTTCTGGGTTGTTTTTTGATGATCTCTCTAGTTTTATCAGAACTAGAAAACAGAGAAAAATTCTTCCCTCTTACTCATATGATACCCTGAAGCCTAGAATTAATTCTTTCCTCACCTCGATTCTTTGTAGGATTGACAGTTCCCTCTTACATGTTGCTTCTCAAAGTCTCTCAGACTTGTGCACTGTTTAGGGTCAGATACATAGAAACCAACACTACAGGGGCTTTACTCTTCAATGGAAACAAGGAAAGAGTTTCTGCTGAAGATCACAGACATTTTTTGGACTTGACCCTTGGAGCCAGGAGATTGTCTAAGGATTCGCTACCATTTTCTTCTAAGAAACAGAACTTCCTGCCTTCCTTTCCTGGAAGCTCACAAAGAAGGCAGCCTTACAAAAGACTTATGTGACCTGCTCTTGTGTACGTAAGATAGAGCCCAGTGTGTTTTGGAACATGGGGTCAACCCTGAGAATGGGGCAGTTTTGAGTTGAACCGGAAAGAGTGTGCTGTATGGAGTCAAACCGACCTGCTTGGGACCCCCAACCCTGCTGATGTATACCGCTGTGCCTCTGAGCTTCAGTAAGGGTAAGGCACCACTCCTGAGGCTGCTTAAAAAATCATATGAATTAGTACATGTCAAAGCTCCTTTGTTCCATGTATCATGCCAAGAAACAAAAGTGTTAGCAGTCTTTGGCCCTTGCTGTGGTCTCTCCCTCCTCACCCTGCACAGACATTGCTATTGTTCTGCTTTTGCTCAAGGGATGGGTCTGTTACAAAATAGCATTCCTTGTGTACTTCACCATGCTGCAACAAAAAGCATATTCCTGAGGCATCATTCTTCATCGCTGTGGTACCTTCTACCGCTTAACTCTCTTCCTTAGCAGTTTCAAGTTTCTTAAGGTAAGAATTAAGTAGAGGGAAGGGGCCAGGTTGAAGAGACCGGACTTGCTCACAGAATAGAGATCAGTACAGGAGAACAAGGCAGGGACAATGGAGAATTCTGCGAGCAGCTCAACCAAGTTGACATCAAAGAGGGCTAATTCAAACACTTGGACTGACTCAGGCGCTGGAGCCACTGTCATGGAAGGTGGAAACTGTAAGACGGAATAATCACAAATGGGCTCGTCCACGCTGCCAGCCGCAGCACGGACACTGAGACTCTGGCTTCATCAAGAGAAGAACTGGTGTCTTTGTATCTGAGGACCTCCGATGAGGCCGTTTCCTGTCCTAACTGACTTGAACACACAGTGACTATGTCTCTAATAAGCTGGTTCCCCTGAGACCTTTACCGACGAAGAGACAGAAAATGAAGTGATTTAGTCTTGTAACCAGAGCAACCGTCCCCTTGCAAACTCACCATGCAGGGAACAAGACCAAAAGTAAAAAGAAGCAGGCCCCATGGGTAGTGCCAGCCTGCCTTATTCTTCAGGAACTGCCAACCCAGAAAGCCCTTCCACGGCCTGCAGGGTCTGGGGGTCAGGGAATTCATAGACATTCTTTATGCATTTCTTGTTAGTTCATTTATGCCCCAGTGATTGCATGTAGACAGAGGGAAAAGGGGAGAAAGAAGTGGATCTTATTTAACACTTCGGAGCTAGACACTTAGCTGGACACTCTTTCCTATAAATCCTAACAACTAATTTGAGGATATGATATTTAAGCACAGCCATCCCTCACACTTATGCCTTCTAGAACATCACATGTGGTAAGTGTGGGGGTAGTTTAGAAAGGGGAGAAGACAGAGCACAAGGTGAGCAAGGAAATTCACCTATTGTCCACCCCTCTGAGCCAAGCATCTATAGGCCAGGAGTTTGCAGGTATGTTTCCACCGTACCTTCTCTTACACACCTCACCACAGTCTCATGGCATAGTTACTATCACTACTTGCAAACAAGTAAGCTGAAGTTGTAAGGGATGATGCTGGAAGCTCACGGGTACACATCTAGTATATGACCGAAGCAGAACTTAAACTCAGTTTTCCCTCATTTGCAGATCTTACTGCCTCATCTCAGAGCAGCATATAGACATGGGCTCAGATGCACATGGCTCTGTGTCGACACACATTAATAGGGCAACCTGGAAAAATCATGTTGCCATAGGATGCAGCCAGACACCATGCCTTCCTGCAGAGATTCAGCAGTCCCTCATTCAGGAGGGTGTCTCTGGGATCACTGGGAAAAAGCTAGACAGAGCTTGAAGAACATCTATATTCCTGAGTCATTCAAGTACAATGCATTCCTCTTGGTCATAGGGAGCTTTCTGATGAAGTTTGGAAGCAGAAGAACCATTCTGAAATATGTTTGCAAGCAAGAGAGCATCAAATAATATGGTAAAACACAAAGAGTTCTTGCCTCACTGTAATATGACAGATGAGTTGTAATAAAACATGTCCGAATATTCTCAGTACCCAGCCAGTTAATCCTCACTAAGGGAACGGTGGTTTGGCCCTTTGCATTAGACATGAGAAGTGTCAAACCCCATCTGCGTGGTGGGACAGCTGCGCCAGGTCCCCCCCTTCCCTGCTTAAATCATCTGTTATTTCCTGACTGCCTAATCAGAGAACTGCTCTCTATCCTTCCATCACAAGCAATAAAAACAGTACCTTTCTTAGATAAAATCAAGATGCAGAGGAAATGGAGGATGAGAAATGAATTGATGATCCAAGGAACTAGAGTCCTGGGATTAAAGTGGGAGCCAGAGGAAGGAAATCAGAAATCCCTCCTAGATGACAGTGAACGTAAGTAGATGACTCCGGAAAATGCTGATGGTGTTTAAACCTCCCCACCTGGAGGATCTAAGGATATTTGAAAACGGATATGCCAAAAACTGGATGGGACCTCATTATCCTCCTGTTTCCAAAATCATGGTAAAGGTCCATCTTACACCCAGCTGGCTAAATTGGAAACCTGGAGTATTCTCCCCATTTCACCCTATGCATCTAGTCCTCATTTGATTTACACTGTAAACATCATCTCAATTTACCCACTTTCTATTGCTCCTCATCATTTCTCACCTGAGCTATTTCAATTCCCCCTAATAGGTTTCTCCCTTGCCAGTTTGATCAATGCCCACTAATCTGCCCTCCTGCCATGGCGATCTTTCTAAATTGCAGATACGATCTAGCCACTCTTTAGATGAAATCCTTTCTTTTATCCCCCCTTTCAGGGCAGAGCCCAGCATCTCTGCATTCCTTATACAGTGGTTAAGGTCCTCGCTCTTGCCTACCCTTCTCTCCTTCTCTCTTGCCCGGCCACCTCTGCCACACCCCTCTCGGGATAATCTGCACTTGCAGTTTTTTGACCTTGCTGTGCTTCTCATACACGTATGGATTCATCAAGAAGGAGCCTGTGCCATTACTCACTTGTTCCCCTTCCCTCCATTTTCCTGGCTACTTCCTTTTGACCCTTCAAAACTCAGCTCAGTCATCTTCTGGAAGTGTGCTTTGAGTCCTGCTGCCTGGTTATGGACCCTCTACAGGGATCCTCTAGCCCTTGAACAACCCCTACCATGCTGTGCAGTACTTTTAAATCCTCCCCCAGACTGAGGCTTTCTTGGAAACAAATGCTCTTTCTCCTGTTTGTATCCTCAGTCCCTGTCATGTATGAGCTACCTACATAATTAGATGACTCCAGAAAATGCTGATGGTGCTGAAACCTCCCCACCTGGAGGATCTAAGGGTATTTGAAAACGGATATATCAAAAGCTGGATGGGACCTCATTATCCTCCTGTTTCCAAAATCGTAGGATGGTCCTTCTTCCACCCAGATGGCTAAATTGGAAACCTGGAGTATTCCCCCCATTTTACCTTATGCATCTAGTCCTCATTTGATTTACACTCTAAACATCATTCCAACTTACCCACTTTCTATTGCTCCTCATCATTTCTCACCTAAGCTATTTCAATTCCCCCTAATAGGTTCAATTCCCCCTGCCATGGCAATCTTTCTTAGAGATATGCCTTCCTGCAGAGATTCAGCAGTCCCTTGTTCAGGAGGGTGTCTCCGGGATCACTGGGAAAAAGCTGGACAGAGCTTGAAGAACATCTATGTTCCTGAGTCATTCAAGTACAATGTATTCTTCAACCAATAATACATGGTTATCAGATTGAGTTCTGCTTTATTTTTTTCCAACATTCCTATGGGATTCTACCAAAAATCTTCCCACTTTCCAAGCTTGTACCCTTGAATGATCCAAAACTCAGATATTTGTTTCTCCATTTTAAGCTTCAATTAAGCAACAGCATAAAATTATTGTTTTCCATATTTTGAAAGAAGCAAACATAGTTGAGGTTATATCTTACAGAAGCTCAGGGAAATAAGCAACTTATATGCACCAAGTACTATGTTAAACATTCTTACCTGACGATTCTCATAGTCCTCTGAGGTGGGTATTATTACTGCTGTATTAACAAAAATGAGACTGAAGTTCACACAGGTAAATGTAAATAACATAACTTGGGACTTTGAAGTCAGAATTTAAAAATGTTTCCCCAAACTGCATCACACTATGTCTCTAAAGAGAAAATACTTGATTAGAGGACTTAAACTATGTAAAAGGAAACATGCCTCATAGGACATCACAAATCTAAATATTCTGAAACAAGAGACACTGTTAAACACTTCATTGCAAATAAGTCAGGTATTTCATCCTAAATTCCAGAGTCTTAGACAAGTCTTATCTGGAGAAACGCAGTTTGGAGGGGACTATTTCACAAATTCAGCCTTGGTCTCTGCCTCTTACCCTTCAAGTCTCTGCCATGCCATGCTCCCATAGTTTCTTCTTTTGCTCATCAAAAAAGAATCATGGAGCCTTGAGGTGTAGTGAAAGATAATATATTCAACAATCCCCTGTGGAAACGAAACTTTATATTCTAACCAGATTCGATATTCTCGATGATTGTCTCTCTCTCCGGGAGATCCTGTGTCAACTTTATCATCAATTGCATAGTGTGTGTGGCCCTCTGAACATGTACAGTCTAACTCGTGGTACTCATCCATCTAACAGATACCTATTCACAAAATACTTGGACACCGAATGTGCCATAATCCTGATTTCCCACTTACATCTGTTCACCATATCCAATGCCTATATCATCTTTCTATATACCAGCTTTTCTTCACTGGGTGTGTGGTGGGAGAGAGAAAAAGCTTTATATCACTTCCCAATATATGCTCTGACCACAGTTGTTTCTCACATCTCTGTCATAATACCTACAATATTATACTGTAAATTTTCTTGTTATACAGCTCTTCTCACATCTCAAATGTGAGGAGTTCCTCACTAAATGCAGTGCATGAACAAAGGAATAAATGGGGAAAAAATTTTCTTTAAATATCCTAATGATGAAATGAATATATTAAAGGAAGTCAGCATCATTTATAACCTGAAGGTTTTAGTTTTCAAAACTAATCATAGGATTTGATACCAATGAGTCCCACCCCCTAATTTTAATCAAAATAAATGATTTGTTCAACAGAAAATTAAACAGAATAGTTGCCAGTCTCTCCTTTTCTTTCAGGCATTTGTTATGGTCATTGCATAACTGCATTCCTAGTCCTCGGAAGTTTAACATTAACATCTGCTCATCTGGGTGTTTCCACTCCCTGCCCAATTCTCCATCCTCTTCCTACTATAATAAATCCTTACAGGAACAAAAATGCTCTTAATATATTTCCTAAAGTACCTCTTTATGTATGTATTTTTAAAAGGGTGTGTTGTGGGAGAAGATAACAAAAATGCATCCAGTCGTTTAGCAGCTGTGCTTAAGAATAACTGGATAAAGCCTGCGTTGCAGAATGGAGAGATAACAGCACAGATTTTCATTACCTTGAAGTGGGTTGGTAAACAGGTATGTTGCTGAAGGCTAGTTGGAGGATGCTTGGTGGATGGATAGGTAAGGGAGGGATAAATGGTTTAAATAAATAGATGGGGAACAATCATATGAGGGAGGTGCATGAGTGTATAAATGGAATAAGCATTAGATAAATTGGAAGATAATATGTGAATGAACAGGTGAGTGGTTAGCTGATGGAGGAATAAATTGGTACATTTGATTGATGGAGCTGTATGGCTAGATGGAGAGAAAGCCTGATAAATGCTACCAGCAGGACAGCAGACGGAGGGTGCATGTGGTACGAACAGGAGCAGGAGAGGGTCAGGTGTGGATGGGAGGGCAATGATTAAAAGCAATAGTAAGAAAGACAGGGGAAGAAGAGGAGCAGCAAAGGTGTTAAGATGGTTAAGGGAGCCGGAAAGCCATTTCCTCAACAAGTCATGCTTTTGCAATGAGTCTGAGGAAATTGGAAACTCTCCATCATTGGTACCAACTATTTCCTTGGTATTTTAACTTCTAAAGAACATGATCTAGTCTATCAAGTTACCCTGGAGGGGAGACTGAGTCATAAAAGGTCAGAGAGTAGCCCTTCTCTACCTTAGGAAGCCAATGAAAACCAAACCTTATAAATCTAGCTCAGGGTCTTGGCCAGAGAAGCTAGCTGTGCTGTAAAATCCACTGAAGAATTTTAACCCACTTTCTGCTGAATTCCCAACACGTAATCAATCATTGGTCTTGTGATTCATCAGAGGCAGTCTTGAAAAATTCAGTGGTTGAAAGAGAAACAAAAACTGTCCAGAAAACTCTAAACTGGAACATACTAGGGGTGTAAATTCACAAATGGTACGGACAAAGAAGAAACAAAGACTAACAAGGTCAAGTGTCCAGCCCAAGGTCACAGACCTAGTCCATGGCAGAATCAGGAAGGGTTAGTTGACATATAAACAGGTGATGAGAAGCTGAGTTGTAAGAAAGAGGTTAATATCCATTTCAGATGAATGTGTGATAAAGGTAGAGAGGAGTTGGAGTTTTATTGGAAGAGGAAGATGTTTCAGAACAGGCAGCCAGGAACGGAGCTTCTCCTCCAGGTCTCATTTTCGCACCATTACCCATGTGTGTACTGCAATAGAACCTAAGACGGAGAACAGCGGTACATACTTTTAAAAATAAATACTTTAAAAAATATACGTACATCATAGTCACTGTATTTTCTCATCCCTATTATTGTCAAAGGGTGCTTAATTGAGTGGAATGAAGCCACAGCAACTGTTAAGGAGTGCCCAAACTGAGAAGTACCTGGTCATTATTTCTCTGAAACATCACTTCTGATTTCACTTTACCCTGGGTCAGTAAATTATTCAGAATTTGAGGCTGTGGCTACATTTTATATTATTTGTAAATGGCATAGATATTTGACATACAGGTGTAATATGAAAAGTGTCTAGATTGCCTTCCATTCTGTGTATGTACATGCATCATAAGTGCATGAGTGACAGAGAGAGAGAGGGAGAACAGGTTACTGACTTTTCTGATTCCGTCTACGTCCCCAAAGCTGAAAACACACATAGAAGAGGAACATACCCTGTTTCACTTTTCTCCATTACTTGATGTCCAATGAGATAGCCTAATAAACAGCCCCCCAAAAGTTACAAATTTCTTTGAACTTTATTGATACACTGCACAATCACAACCATCTCGTATTCATCCTGAATTAGAAAAGGTTACAACTACAATGTAACATGCACAAAGTTCAGGTAGTATATTCACCCTTAATACAGTTATTGACAGAAATCAAGTCTCCATTGATTTTTTTTTGAAGGAAAATATAAGAAAGAAAACAAAAGCAAAAAAAATCTCTAGAAGGCTGACAAAATTATACTCTTGCATCATGTCATAAATTTTTAAAGCATCTGAACACAGATTTTTTTTAAGGATAATTGTGAGAATGGGCACACCCATTGTCTGACACAGCTATAACGGCACCATTGAAAAGTCATAATTATTTTTTTTTATCTAAAGGACTCTGAACTTGACAGGTACATTTTCGTAAACCCACACATTCCTCACAACTGCACTTTACATGTCACAAAAATTTTTGAATGATTAAAAATGCTCCCTTTAATTAACACAAGGGCAGCTATTATTACTTATTTCTGCTATTATTGATAAATCTGCCAACAGCATAGAATGTGGTCCCTAAAGGATAGTAGAGGGTTCACAATCTTCCTTTCTCCACTCTACAGTGTGGAATGACAACTGTGTGCCTTAAAAGGGCACCTTTGAAAGAAACAAAAAGGAGTCTCTTTCAAAATACTGGAAATCAGGCTTAGCTGACTACTTTCAGGATGAAGACAATGGTGTCTAATTAAGTCCACTCCACATTCCTTTGGACTCCAAGTATTCTGCACCTGAAGGCTAAATTACACTGGCTCAGCTCTATCTTTTGACCACATCTTTTAATTGCAAATCTATTTTCTTCCTTCTTTCATTTACTTCTCTTCTCTTAAGTAAGAAATGAGGGAAATGAGACTAGCATTTTTATTTGTTTGCTTTTAGTGATCATTAGGAGTTCTCATCATATGGTATCTTTTTGAAAATGTTGCCTTCCTACTTACACACCTGTGAAGTTTTACTGAAACGGCTCAACTGGTTTGTCTTAAAAGACAAGGACAAGGAAACTTTGGATAGCAGAAGGGAGGCAATGGGGTATATATTTCTGGGAACAGGGCTTGTGCAAAATAAAAACAACAGATTCTCACTGTTGAGGAAAAGAAAGGAAAATTGAATACTGCCAACAAGAAAAAATTTATGTTGCTTGTTCTAATTCCAAAGAAATTAAACTTTTATTTGTTCATTTTTATTTTTTGGGAGAAGGAGGGAGGGCTGGTTCTAGGTGTTGTAAAATCATTTTTCTGATGGGAACTCAGGGTCAAATTGGGGGAGGTCGGCCTGCTCCCACATTCCACCCATCTTGTGCCTTTCCTCCCCGCCTTCTGCTGACAGGGTTGATAACAACTGCACAAGGCTGCAGGGGAAAAAGCATTTCATTGGCACTGGAAGTACTGCCCCAAACTACAGTATTCGATTTACAACCACTCCTGATGCAATGCAGTAATAAGCTCTCTGTGAGGTTGACTGCCCACTTGGAGGTTCTCTGCTCTTTACATGTAGAGCTCTTCCAGTGTGAGTAGAACTTGCAAACTCCTCCAGGTTGAGAGCAAGTTCACTGCATCGATGCAGAAACAGATCGTGAAACTCAGCCTCAGCTGTGGAGTTCCTAGGGCCCCAGAGCACACTTCCCACCCACGTTTTGAGAACTAACTGCCCAACCTGTGAAACGTATCATCTCGTATGAGACCTGGGTGTCCGAGGAAAGAGGCCCAAGCCTGTGTTTGATACAAAACCTTCCCTTTTCTTCCACTCAACTGAGCATAATTGCAGCAGAACAACCACTCACAATGCTCGCTACATAAAATACATGCGCATTTTGATGACCACTCCCCTGTATGTCCCGCTCCCCCAGTTAAAAAAAAGAATGAGAAAAACTAAATGCACTTGCTTAGACTTGCAGACGACTGTATCAGGCACTTGACATTCAACTACTGAAAAGAAGCTAGGCCAGAACCATAACACTAGTACTTTCACTGGCATTACTTTGGTGGGAATACATATAAATTTGTTGTGTTGGGTGAGGTTCAGAGTAACTACATTATGGAATATCTCTCACCTCATCTGATAAGCCTTATTTGGTTTCCTTCCCATGTGAAAGACCCGTGAAGAACTATAGGTTCCTGTAGGTTGTTTATTTTCCCTCCTTTACCCCTATTCCAACCCCCACCATTGGCACCTTGAAAAATATCTATCCAGCTGGCCTTATCCATTTATATTCCATATGAAAAGTTGAGAAAGCGTATGTAGTACGGCTATTTCCTTTAGCACGCATTACTGCTTTGTATATTTCAAACTGTTGGCTAACAGCTGTCATATGGAGTCGCCCCACCAAAGTAACCCCAACATAGGAGCTGGAATATGTCTATCATGAAGAAGAGCCATTTTATTTCCCAGGGCCCAGTTTCCTTGGGTATTATTTACTTGGTTTTCTTTATCCCAGACAGATGAGGATTGACTGTAGGATTTTTTTTCCTCTGAATGTGGCTGAAATAGGGAACCACTAGAGGTGCTTCCTGGTATCCTGGTGTAGAGAGAAGTACAGAGTTCTACAGTGACTCTGAGATCCAGCCTTGTCTTCAAAAGGTTCTGGTGATCGTCCTGGCCAAAGACTGTGTTCCTCTAGAGCAAGTCTTGGAGTGAACAACATGTACAGCTTGTCCATTTCAAGCACCGTGTACTCCAATACCATCCACTTTCCACAGCCTCCACATTTATTTTACTCCAAAGTAACAACTTTATTATCAGTAGAAAACTGAATGACACATTTAGTTCTCATACAATGTCTGACACCAACCCTAGTCCAGGTGCTGAATGTGGTGACAGATTCTGAAACACTGATGTCCAACCTTTAATTCTGGCTTCGTGGCTGCTCATGACTTTCCCTGGAACCTGGAATTGATAAACTGTTTTGGGCACATCATCTATGTTGCCAGAATCTGGCTCCTGGCAGCTAGCTAGGAAATGCAGATGTCTGTTTACAGCTGAAAAATGTAATATTAGTTTCACTTGTACCAGCTCTATCATGAAAGTGCCTAACTTTTTGTATGCCAGCACTGCAAGACAGTCTACATTTGTATTTGTCTAGGTATGTGTGTAAATATATATATATATATGTGTGTGTGTGTGTGTGTGTATTTCCCCACTGTGTATGTCCTGTTCATGTGCCATAATTGACAAAAAGAAATAGGTCACTTAAATTGGAGAAAGAAGGTCAGTTAAGCATTAAAGGAATGGACGTCAACAGAGCTCGTGTTATTATCTTGTAGACCATGAACCTGAAAGAGTTTTCCAGTTGAGGGCAGGTCTGTGGACAGTCACTGATGATGCTTTTATATAATCCTCTTGTTGGTTCAGTGCTTGTGGCACAGGCTGAGGGAGGCACGACCTTGTGTGGTTTCCCACATCATTCCTTTGAATCCCAAGCTCCTTTGCCGGCTGGGTCTTTCTTGTCCCAGGAGATGATGCAGAAAGGTCAGGTCAGCTGTTATTTGTATGCTGGGTCTGCTTTGAATGTGGAGAGCTGAGGACATTCTTCCCCAAAGCCACTGGAGAAGCAGCCTGTATCAGAGGAAATTGTGTGTCACTTACACTTTCCCACTTCTGTTTGCAGTGTTGTGTTAATCAACGGCTTGGAAATTAAGTCAGTTGCTCAAGGGCCCTCAGCTCAGAAGAGCTTCCTGAAACAAATACCAGAGTTGTCAACACACCCACCATGTAATTGGCTTCCATCAGCTTTTTGCCAGATAGTTTTCAAACAGATTAAACCAAAACTGGGGCAGGGAGGAGACCGTAGCTGCAGTCGTCACACTCAGTCAGCTGAACTGCTCTCTCACATTGCAGCGACAGTGGTCTTTTTTTTTTTTCCTCATTCTTGCTGTTAAGAAAATCCAGCCATGGAGTAAGTCCCAAAGATTCCTTAAAAAGACATTCTTAAGAGGCCAAGGAAAGCATGAAGGTTGGTACCTGGGTCCTTCAAAAGTGAAAGAAAGAAAAAAAAAACACACAGTACCAATCAAAGCTTTTCCAGGGCTGATCTGCTTCTCAAGAAGATATTTTTGGAAACACAGTCTCTTCTGGGAATAGCGTGACTGATGAGTGGATTGCTACTTTGGTCCATCAGTGAATGGTGTCTACTTTGGGTGGATGGGATACCACCTTCCAAAGTGTCCACAACATATTGCTTTTCTGTGGTGTTAGCCTGTGAGATCATTGGCTTTCACATGAGAGGCTGATAGGTAATTCTGAAGATGCCAATGTCTGCTATAGGTAGAGGAGAAATGAATACAGTGGAATAGATACAATATGATTAAGATTAATATGGTGATGAATTGATAGTGAGTAGTGGAGAAAGAAATGGAAAGAAGTGTTAGATAATCACATTGGTAAACTGAAAAATAGAGTAAAAGAGATTGCTACAGAGGAAGGTGGGTAGGTAGATAACTGGATGGAGAGGTAAATCAGACAATCAAACAGATAGATAACCATATGATTACATTGATAGATAGTTTGATAAAACCTAAATAATCAGCCATCTATGGACCATTTTTAGTTGGTTGGACAGCATCTTTTAAAGAGAAGTACTGTCCTCAAAATGTCTCCCATTTTTGGTCATTTGGCTTCTAGATTTTTAGTTTTGGGTTGTGTGCAGAGCCCCAAACCACTGATCCCTATAACTGGTGGAGAAATCATACAGGACAGAGTAGCTAGAGAAAATGGGAAGATTGTACAGATATGGATACACGGAGATAACTTCCCAGAAAGAAAGGATGTGCACCCAAATGAAAACAAACAGGCAGGGAGGGTTATGTAAATTATAATAAGGAAAATGGTCCAAAGTGTAAAAGACACAGATAACAAGACACTTGGATACAACTCTGGCTGTGCACCACCTTATAAGTCAAGTTGTGTCTTCAGGGTGTTTATCATGAGGCACAGTTTCTGCCCAGATGGAGCTTATGGTTGGTGTTGGGTGGAGGGAGGTCCGCAGTGATGATGATGGGGAGAGAAGCAGAGGAGGAGGAAGGGCCAGGGTAGCAGGGAGATATTCCATTTTTGGACACACGAATGCATCATTATCCTACACATGGTAAAACCCTGCCCACCCCTCCCCATAACCCCACTCATCCAAACTAGAAAACAAACAAACAATCAAATAAACCAAAAGAGCCAAAAAAATGAAAAATCAAGAAGATAAACAAACAAAAGGAAGCCCAAAATGGTTTGCCCTCCGCAGTGTAGATTTAAGTCTGTGATATGGAGAAGCAGGCGTTGCTCAGAGGACCTATGGTTTCTTAATCAAAACTTGACGAAGAAGTGGGCAAAGAGGGTCCCTGATAGCCAGAGACAAGCCAGCGCTCTAGAGGCCGAGTTTACACCATCAATGACTGCTCCAGGCCCTGTGTGAGGGAAAGAGAGACAGAGCCATTAGTATGCACCCAAAGGCTGCTGTACTTGTTCCCTGGCAGACAACTACACAGTCATGCTTCTCTGTAAACATTCCACCACCTCCTACCCCCCTCCCCCACCGACCCTTCTAAGTCTGGACAAGGCAGAACTCAAAAGGGCAAATCACTGGGGTGATGACCTCTACAGCCTGCTCTCAAAAACAGGAGTTTAAAAAATGAAGTGCATAGAGGGAGGTAACAGCAGTCAGGTAGGTCTATGTGCTGGAAAGTTAGGGCAGCAGACAGGGCTAGATGGTATGGTGGGACCTACAGCTGCCTCTATCTTTGGAGATAGTGTCCAGACAGACAGGGAGGAGAGGGGAAAGGTCAGCGTGGGGGAGGGAGGAGAAAGTCCAGAGTGGAGAGAGCTGACAGGGAAGAAGGGAAACGAAAGGAAATATTCTGTGAGCAACGGGTGTCTATAGGGGTTGCTGTGGCCACCCTTTCATCCTGTGTGCTGAGAAGCCTCCTCCTGAAAGAGTCAGGAGGAAAGAATAATTCTGCCTGAGAATTTTAGAGACTGTGATTGGATTTATTCTGACTGTGAGCAGTGCCTCTCCAGAGGCAACGGGCAACACTCAGTTCGCCGTCTCAACTGCCACCTGGTGGTTCAGCCTGATGGGGTTCTCCCTCTACCCCTTCCTCCCTTCTTCCCTCTCTCTGGCCCTTCTACACAGCCCTGGTGAATCACCCACGGTCACGAATGCTGCTCCTTTCCCTTCATCTGCTCCCTCAAGAAGGTAACCCACATGGACTGGGATTGTCGAGCCTGTTCCAAGGACCCAGGGCAGAGGAATCAGTGTTTAACCACTCAGCATTCTCCCATCACCTTTATAAGAATTTTCTAAGACTGGTGTCATAAGCAAGACTAACAGCTCGCAAGCAGAGAGTATTCTAAGGAAAGCAAAATCAAGTATCAGCCAATGGGTTAGAAGCTGTCCAAAGACATTCCTGTCCTGTAGGGCAGCTGACAAAGGGAGGGAGTTGCAGGCAAGACCTTGCCAAGCCAGCTTCACTGATGCTTTTAGAAATAAATTGGCTTATTGGAAATAAGCATGACTGCTAAGGAAAAGCATCCGTGGGGAAGGGTCTCTTCAGACAGGACCCAAGCCATGTAGCTTGCTTGTCAATGTGATGCTGTGGATCTGTACCTTGCCTGCGAAGACACTGATCTTCCCTTTTGCTTGGGGGAGTGTAGGTGTTCTGTCAGTGGTGAAATCCAACTGTTCCAAGCCAGGGACTTCAGCATGGATACCTTTTCCTCCTCTGATTTATAATTTACACAATTCTCTTACTGACTAAAACATCATATTTATTTGATAGTTTCAGAATCTGGCTTATATTGCTCTGAAATTTTGTTATAGGGTATTCACAGATAAGGGTGGGAGCCCAAATCTAGTGCTATGATTCCATGAATATTTATGAAAAGTAGCCTGACTCTGGGGCCTCCATCAATCCAGGCATACATGTACCCTAAGGAATCTTGCCGGCCTACAGAGTGTACTGAGTTGGAAAATGTCCAAGTGAAAGCTCAAAGTAATTCTGTATAATGTCTTCTGCAGAAGACGAACCATTTAGATTTTTTCTAATGAGTTTGTAAGGAAGTGAGCAATGCAGATTTGTAAGATTCATATTTCTTTTAGATTACCTTTCATATATATATATATATATAGACAGGTAAACATGACATACATTAGTGTGTGTGTGTGTGTGTGTGTGTGTGTGTATACATGGTGTGTATGTGTCTTTGTCTAATTCATTAACTTAAGAAACAATTGAAGCCCTAATAAGTTCAACTTTACAGAGGTCTTTAGTGGAGGAATCACATTATTCTAAGTTTTATCAGTGGATTTGAGCATTTCTATGGATGCCATGCGACCAGCACATGGTTGGATATAGATAAAACCAACAGGAGAAGAGAAGTGTATAAGGAAGGCAGAGCCGAAAAGCGTGAGGTACAGAGAGAGAAGGAAGCCGAATCAGTAAGAGAAATGAATGTTTCAGGTGGCGTATGGCAATTGCCATAGGATGTTCAGTGGTGATCGGGCAGACGGTTTACAGCCACAGCTCATCTTCAGTTGAGTGTTCCAAACAGTGGAAACCATGAAGGCGACCTAGTAGACATAGAGGCTGCTCAGCTTGCTTAGTGTGATGATGATAACATGCATTTACATTGTGCTTTTTCTGTGGCAAACAAAACTCTAAATGCTAAACAGCTATTAACTCATTCACTCTTCACCAAACCCTATGAGCTTCTCCCTATGGACATTCCCATTTTATAAATGGGGAAACTGAAGAACAGAGCAGTTAGGCACCTTGGCTGTGGTCATACAATTTATACACCTAGTGCTGGATTAGAACTGAATTACTCTGTCTGCAGTCTGTGCCCTGGTTGACTACAACTCCACATACTCGCTATGAAAAATGATCCTTTGTGCATGTTTATCCAGCAACCACAGCATCCTGTGGTAAGAGGAAAAATGAATGGGGAATCCAGAGACCCAATTTCTCTATGTGACTCTGCTGCTCCCTGGTTGAATGACATCTCCTCTCTGGTCTTGCTTCTACCATCTGCAAAATTAGAGGAGGTTGGGATGGCGACCTCTAAAGCTCTTCTATTAGCATTCTGAGTTATTGTATGAATGGAAACTCTACATCCGGAGCTAGAAGAGACAGCTGGTGAGCAGCCAGACAGCTCTTTCCAGCTGGTACTGAACCATCACCACTCATTGTTGTGTGCCTCAGCATGTCATCTCCTGGGACAGCAAGGGGGCACAAATATTCCTAGACCCTACAGTTTCCTCTTTTGTGGCCTCATTTTCTATGAACCTTCAGGACATTTTATTCTTTAGCAGGTAGGATAAGCCCTACCTTATAGTATCAGATGATGTGGCAATTTATTACCAAAGTGCCTTTGGTTAATGAGTCTGTGAGAAATAGCTGAGCTACTCTGGCCAATGAGCTAATCTAATCCACTATGATGGAGATCAAAACTAGCAATGCTTGCCTCATTCCGATCCTGGACACATTTGAGATTTGGCAGCTAGACCAAATGCCAGGATTGTGCGACACATACAGGAGGGCTTCTGGGATTTGTTGAGAACAGGGAGAAAGTGGCTCACATCTATGTGCCACCCTTCAGTTTGGAGAAATATAAGACAAAGACCATCAGCAATGAACTGTCTTTAATTTATCTTTATAGTCACCCTGATTCTACTGGAAATGAGGAAAAGAAAGCATCTGGGTTGGGTCTTTTCCATAGGGCTTCTATTTGCTAAGGCCATTCATCTGATTAGGCAAATGCATCTTTGTGCTTAATATAGAAGCAATGGATTGTTGCTTTTCAGCTAATGGTTCTTGTCCCATGATCACTCAGGGCTGACTTTTGGTCTCTTAGGCTGGTAGGCTTTTGCAAATGTTAGCTCAGTGAATCTGTTACAGGGAAGGATGTGGTACTGGAGGAACACGTAACCTGAGTTAAGCAGGGATAGCAATAAAGCTTGAATGCATGTCTTCAGATGTTGGGCCGCATATGGTTTTCCTGTATTTTGGTTTCTTTGGATAACAGTTGTATGTATTTCTCCAAGTATTTGGAACCCAAGATAATATTAGTTCTAATTTCAATAAACATGGTCAGGAATTCAAATGGTGTTTCCATTCATTTCTTCTTCTCCTTCTCCTTTTCCCCTTCTCCTTCTTCTTTTCCTTCTCCTTTTTTTGGTGGAAGTAGAGAGAAAAGTAGTTCTTATCCCACACTTAGAATCCAGAATTTGGAAATGTGAAGCAAATTTTCAATTATGTATTCTACTAAGAAAACTTACCCTGAACTGCACCTGGATAAAGGACATGGGTTTGAAGAAAAGATGGGAATGGAAGAAAAACTGAGTAGTGGCCATGGACCTATAGGTAAGACAAACTAGGGACCTTAGGAAATGTTTTCCATAGCTTCCTCCTTGGCTTCGCTACCTTACCTTTGCAACACTGAACATCCTTTGGGGTAATGGCACTAACCGCTGTAAAAGTGCAACTGATCCTGGCACCTTTGGGGTCAGACCAAATTGGGTTTAAATCCTGACTCTGTGGCTTGCCAGCTATGTGAACTCAGACAAGGTACTTTCATTTTCTCATTGAATATAAGGGTAAAATACCAAGTTTACGAAACAATTTCAGAGGGAAAGGTAGACGTAGTCTCTGCCTTCACAGGGCTTATGCTCCGGTGCCGCCCAGACTACCCTCCATCCTAGTCTAAATCAATCAATAAATCAATCACTTTTTAAAACCCTCTCAGATTCTGTGATAAAAGCCGTTTGGAACAAATAATCCAACATCCCTTTCATCAGGAACACCCTTCCTTTTGGATATTCTTAAGAGGATTGAATTCAAGAGGCAGAGGCCACTGAATTTGAATTCTGGCTCTGCTCCTCCCTAGCAGGGTGACTTTGGATGAAACATTCAACTTCTCTGAAATAGTTTTTGTTTTAATACATACAATGCGGGTGGGGCAGTAGTTTTACCTATCCTTGCAGGGAACTCTAAGGATTAGTTAAAATGATGTATAAGATCACCTATGTATTGGATAAATAAACATTAGATGAATTAGAACCAACAATAATTACTGATCCCTAAAACAGCATCTTTTGCAGGGATCCTGCTGAAAGAGGGCCCATGAAATGCCAGATTCTCAAAGGTAACTGTCAAGCACGGGCTGGAAACAATCTTGGCTGGGACTAGCAAGCAAGTGGCCTGATCTCCCCTTAAAAGACCTGAGGTGTATGCTAACCACAGTTAAAAGCTTCTGTAGGGGGCCCAGCTATCCTGAGCAAGTGTTTTTAGAAGCCTAACTCTTTCTCTGGACAAATGCTACACTTAAGGAATCTTTATTTATGGTTAACAGTGACTCAATTCTGTTAGAATGGCTGTTACAAATATCAGGCTTAATTAAATATTCTTCA